ATTCTCCTGCCTCAGCCTCCCGAGTAGCTGGGACTACAGGTGCGTGCCACCACGCCCAGCTAATTTTTTTTTGTATTTTTAGTAGAAGACGGGGTTTCACCATGTTGGCCAGGATGGTCTCCATCTCTTGACCTCGTGATCCGCCCGCCTCGGCCTCCCAAAGTGCTGGGATTACAGGCGTGAGCCACTGTGCCCAGCCTTTCTTTCTTTTTTTTAACATGAGAATCAGTCTAATGTTCTTAAAATACACCAAAGGGTAAACTTCGCTTGCTCATTTAGTAAGTATTTGTTGAGTAGCTACTTACTGCATGCCAGGCCCTTTTCTAGGCACACAGGATATGGTAGTGAACAACAAAAATCCTACTCATGAAAGTGAAATAGGCACACAATGAAAGTAGATAGATTAGGCAAGTATATAATGTTAGAGGGAAAAACTAAAGCAGGAAAATGAAATGTTTACAGGTTTGAGGGGAGGAGTGGTGAGAATTTTAGGATGGCCAGAAAAGTCCTGACTGAGAAAGGGGCTTTTAAGAACTGAAGGAATGGAAGGAGAAAGCCAGGAGGCGACTTGAGGAAAAGGCATCCCAGACACAGGGAACTGCCCAGTTCAGAGGTATGCCTGGAGTGTTTAAGCAACAGTGATATATAAGGAAGAGCAAGAAGTTCAGTGTGGCTGAAGCAGAGCAAAGGGAGTAAGAAACAGAAATTTAAGTTGAGAGAGGGTATTACGGGGAACACTGACACATACTCAGAGTGAAATGGGAGGCAATCAGATGGGTCTGAGCAGAGGAATGACATCATCTGACTTACGTTTTAAATACGGCCACTGAGTTAAGGATTGATGAAAAAAGAATTCTTTTAAGAAAACAGAAAGACCAATTAACAGTCTATTACATGCAACTACACAGCAGATGGTGGTGGCTTGCACATGGAAGATACGACTGGCTTCTGGATATATTCTTCAGGTATATATCCTGACAAGCTCTGCTGACAGATTAGACATGAGGTGTCAGAGAGAGAGGTGAGTCAAGGATGACACTTTGGTTTCTAGCAGAGCAACTGCAAGAGTGCCATTAATGCAAGTAGGAAAGACTATGTGAGGGGCAGGTATGAGAAAGAGCACTGGTACCCCAATCTTGGACCTGGTAAGTTTGTGATACCCAACAGTTTGTGATCAACCAAACAGAGATGCCAGGTTAGTATAGAAGTCTGGAATTAAGGAGAGAGATCGAGGCAGGAGACATGCATTTGGAAATCATTAGCACACTCAAGGTAGTAAGCCACGAGAAAGAAGATTGAGGACTGAGCCCTGGGACACATCCATGTGAAAATGTGGGATATGAGAAGAAACCAAAACAGATTATGACAGATGGACTAGAAAGGCAGGAAGAAAAGCCAGGCGAGTGAGGGAGATCCTGAAAGCCAAGTGAAGACACCACTATGGAGGAGAGAGATATTTCCATTAGGTCCAATATTGCTGACAGGTTAAATAAAATGAGGTCTAAGAAACAATGTCTAGATTTGCTGAAGTGAAAATCGGTGGTAAACTTGAGAACAACAATCTTGGAAGAGTGGTGGGAGTGAAAATTACTGGTGTCAGCTCAAGAGTGAATGGACAGGAAATCTGAATCCATGAGTATAAACCGTTCTTTCAAGGCCAACATACCTAGGGAAATGATGTAGATGACCTTATTTTCTTCTTGTTTAGCTGTATTTTTCAATTCTTATATTACTATATAGTATATTTTTACTCTTTAAAAGTTTTTAAAATTATGCCTATATAGCATTTTTGCAATGCCAGATCAAGGTATTAAAAAATTCATGAAGTTATAGAACCAAAAGACCTCTTGAACTTTTCTAGATTATATAAGCTCATTATCATTTTGCTCATGCTTATGCATAAAGATCAAGGAAGACTAAAAGTTTCAGAAGAAGTATTTCTTGCTTGATAAAAATCATCCAACTCTAGAATATTTTATACTCATCAAATAAACAAAAACAATAGTCAAAATAAGGAATTCTATTAACAGGAATAAAAGGGGACAAATGCAGAAAATAATCTTATTTTGTAAACCAAATTTGTTGAAATTATGTGAAGCCACTGTTGAAAAATACGGTATGCTGCCTACTGAAATATATTATCTTTTTTTTTTTTTTTTTTTTTTTNAGATTTCCATCAGGTCCAATATTGCTGACAGGTTAAATAAAATGAGGTCTAAGAAACAATGTCTAGATTTGCTGAAGTGAAAATCAGTGGTAAACTTGAGAACAACAATCTTGGAAGAGTGGTGGGAGTAAAAATTACTGGTGTCAGCTCAAGAGTGAATGGACAGGAAATCTGAATCCATGAGTATAAACCATTCTTTCAAGGCCAACAGACCTAGCGACATGACGTAGATGACCTTATTTTCTTCTTGTTTAGCTGTATTTTTCAATTATTATATTACTATATAGTATATTTTTACCCTTTAAAAGTTTTTTAAATGATGCCTATATGGCATTTTTGCAATGCCAGATCAAGGTATTAAATAAAAAATTCATGAAGTTATAGAACCAAAAGATCTCTTGAACTTTTCTAGATTATATAAGCTGATTATCATTTTGCTCATGCTTATACATAAAGATCAAGGAAGACTAAAAGTTTCAGAAGTATTTCTTGCTTGATAAAAATCATCCAACTCTAGAATATTTTATACTCATCAAATAAACAAAAACAATAGTCAAAATACGGAATTCTATTAACAGGAATAAAAGCGGACAAATGCAAAAAATAATCTTATTTTGTAAACCAAATTTGTTGAAATTATGTGAAGCCACTGTTGAAAAATACGGTATGCTGCCTATTGAAATATATTATCTTTTAAAAGGAAGGATAATGGCATACACGTAGGGCACCTTTAAAAAGAGGATTCACTGCATAACAGCACCTTGGTTTTAGCACAAGGGTCAGCAAATTGGCGCTTGTGGGCCAAATCCAGACCGCTGCCCATTTTCACGAGGAAATTTCCTTGAATCACAGCCGCACTTACTCACTTTATAATCCACAAAGCCTGCAATATTTACTAACTGGCTTTTTACAAAAAGTGCTAACTCTTGGTTCAGTACATCTAAAATCCTCCGATGTATTTTAGTAAGTTTTACCCGATATACTGAAATGCTTATGTGGAATATGAATTCCCTTGTGCAATCCCTTGGCAATATACAGATTAATTTGAGGGTCTGGTTTTTCAGCACTCACACACTGAGAACAAAAAACAAAAATTTAATAACTAGCAGTTCTGTTGCTAACAAGGTACAGTGTCAGTGTAGCATGTAGCTGGCTTCCTTTTGTAACTGAGCAGATATTACGAGAATTTCAACAAAACTGGCTTGAGATGTGTCATCAAACTAAATGCTTTAAATATACTTTGTGAAATAATCAGTACACTCTAGATCTAACAACTTCATTTATTAAGATGATTGCATACTACATGATTTTCTAGGTATGACAACTGTACTATTTCCTTATTGCTAAGGATTTAGACTATCTCCAACTTTTTGATATTACAATGCTATAATAAATATCTTTATACATATGTATATATGTAACATATATAAATAACCTTAACGTACATATNCGGGGTTTCACCATGTTGACCAGGATGGTCTCGATCTCTTGACCTCGTGATCCACCCGCCTCGGCCTCCCAAAGTGCTGGGATTACAGGCTTGAGCCACCGCGCCCGGCCAATATATTATCTTTTAAAAGGAAGGATAATGGCATGCATGTAGGGTACCTTTAAAAAGAGGATTCACTGCATAACAGCACCTTGGTTTTAGCACCAGGGTCAGCAAATTGGCGCTTGTGGGCCAAATCCAGACCGCTGCCCGTTTTCATGAGGAAATTTCCTTGAAACGCAGACGCACTTACTCACTTTATAATCCACAAAGCCTGCAATATTTAGTAACTGGCTTTTTACAAAAAGTGCTGTCTAACTCTCGGTTCAGTACATCTAAGATCCTCTGATGTATTTTAGTAAGTTTTACCCGAATATTTTATACTCGGGTATATACTGAAACGCTTATGTGAAATATGAATTCCCTTGTGCAATCCCTTGGCAATATGTATACAGATTAATTTGAGGGTCTGGCATTTCAGCACTCACACGCTGAGAACAAAGAACAAAAATTTAATAACTAGCAGTTCTGTTGCTAACAAGGTACAGTGTCAGTGTAGCATGTACTGGCTTCCTTTTGTAACTGAGCAGATATTACAAGAATTTCAACAAAACTGGCTTAAGATATGTCAAACTAAATGCTTTAAATATACTTTGTGAAATAAACAGTACACTCTAGATCTAACAACTTCATTTATTAAGATGATTGCATACTACATGATTTTCTAGGTATGACAACTGTACTATTTCCTTATTGCTAAGGATTTAGACTATCTCCAACTTTTTGACATTACAATGCTATAGTATATATGTAACATATATAAATAACCTTAACGTACATATATAATATTTACTATATATTTACCCATTAGCCTGTTGTATATTATACACTACAAGTAATAAATGTCCTTAATGCATATGTGTATGTGTTTACACAAGTAATATTTTCCTGTAGGCTCTCATCCAAAAGGTGAAGTTGTTAAAGGAGTGACGTGTTTGAAATTTTGGTACATGCTACTAAATTACCCTGCAAAAAGGATTTGCCAATTTCATTTAACAACAGTGTATGAAAATGCCTTTTTCCTCATATTTGCCAATGCTTCCTATTTTTTTAAATAAAAAATATGATTGGAAAACATGGCATCTCATTGTTAGTTTGCATTTTTCTGATAACAGAAAGGGCCGAATATCCTAGTAAAAGTATAAAATTTGTTCATCATGAATATTAGCCAAAATTAGAATTCATTTCATAGCACATAATTGTCTCT